AAAAACCAAAAAAAAAAATTCTTTTTTTCCTTTAAAATTTTTTTATTCATTTTACATGCCAGCCACAGATCCTCCTCTCATCCCTCCTCCTGCTCCCCCCAGCCTCCTCCCCACTCCTCATCCCCTCCTCAAACAGGGTAAGTTCTCCAATGGGGCACAGCTAAGCCTGGTACATTCAGTTGAGGCAGTACCAAGCCCCTCCCTGCTTTATTAGGGGTCAGCAAGATGTCCAACCATAGGTAATGGAATCCAGAAAACTGGCTAATGCACCAGGGATAGATTCTGATCACACTGCCAGAGGACCTTCAAACAGACCCAGCTACAAAACTGTCTCCCGTATGCAGAGGGTCTAGTCCAGTTCTATGCCGGTTCCACAGCTGTTGGTCTAAAATTCATGAGTTCCTTTGAGCATGGTTCAGTTGTCTCTGTTTATTTCCCCATTATGATCTTGACCCCCGACCCCTTGCTCCTATAATCCCTCTTTCCAAGGGGAACACTCACCATTGTTGGTGTACAGTCACTTTGGTAATCAGTATGGTGGTTTCTCAGAAAATTGGGAATCAATATGCCTCAAGACCCAATGATACTACTCTTGGGCATATACCCAAGGGATGATCAAGCATAACACAAGGACACTTGCTCACCAATGTTCATAGTAGCATTAGTCATAATATCTAGAACCTGGAAGCAACTTAGATGCCTCTCAATCAAAGAATGGATAAAGAAAATGTGGTACATATACACAACAGAGTATTACTCAGGTGTAAAAAACAATGACATTATGAAATTTTCAGGCAAATAGATGAAACTAGAAAATATCATCCTGAGTGAGGTAACCCAGATTCAGAAAGATAAACATGGTATGTACTCACTCATAAGTGGATACTAGTTATAAAGCAAAGGATAATCATACTGTAACCCACAGTTCCAGAGACGCCAAGAAACAAGAAGGACCCTAAGAGGGATGTATGGATCACCTTGGGAAGGAGAAACAGAGGAGATCCCAAAGAGTAAACTGGAGATGGGGATGCAATAGAGGATAGAGGATGGGGGATAAGAACATGAGAGAATGGGATCCTAGGGGAGGGATGGAATGGGAGAGTAATGAAAGAGATATCTTGACAGAGGGAGACATTATGGGGTAAGGAAGAAACCTGGTGCTAGGGAAATTCCCAGGAATCCTCAAGAACAACCCTAGATTAGACTATTAGCAATAGTGGTGAGGATGCCTGAACTGGCCTACCCTGGTAATCACATTAGTGAATACCCTGTCATCATAGATACCTTATCCAGTAACAGATTGAAGCAGATGCAGAGATCCACAACCAAGCACGAGGCCGAGCTCCAGGAGTCCAGTCAAAGAGAGGGAAGAGTGATTAGTTGTTAAAAATTCTCATCCAGTGTGAATAATCAGCAAAAAAGCAATAGTAAATAGGTAAAGAGATAGCTGTCTGCTTCCTAGGGCAGACATACAGACATATGCACAAGCAGACAGACAGACAGACACACACACACACACACACACACACACACACACACAAATTATACTAAACAGTGTCTGTCTCAGACATTTTTTGGCACAGAGTGACTTGATTTTTGTCTGATTTTCATTTACCTCCTGGGGAAGATTGACAGGGAATGTCTGCATGCTGTGAACATGTGTTGCTTTGATTGGTTGTTAATAAAGCCTTTTGGCCTATGGCTAGGCAGCTTAGAGGCAGGTGGGAAATTCAAAGGGAGAGACAGGTAGAAGGCAGAGAGAGACACCAGCCAGCTACCCAAGGAGCAACATGTAATGGGACTCAGGTAAAGCCATAGAACATGTGGCAATACATAGATTAATAGTTATGGGCTAATTTAAGATCTAAGAGCTAGCTAGCAAAAGGCTTGAGCCATGGCCATGAAGTTATAATTAATATAAGCCTCTGTGTGTTTACTTGGGGAAGCAAGTGGAAGAGATTTGTCCCTACCACCAGCAGACCAGGACACAGGAAAACATCCAGCTTCAAATGTCATCTCCCTAGCCAGCTGCTTTCAGAATTCAGAGGACTGTGCAGTTTCACTATATCACACAGCATCTGGACCTATAGAGAATTTGCAAGAGACACTATTGTAATCCAGAATGATCCAAGGTAAATGAGTAATGTGGATATTCCAGTTTCAGATGGAGACATAAGAACAAAATTGAACTCTAAACTATATCAGTTTAAACTACTGGGAATTATTTATAATTTGTGTGTGTGCGTGCGTGCGTGCGTGCGTGCGTGCGTGCGTGTGTGTGTGTGTGTGTGTGTGCATGGTGCTGCACATTTATGTGAAAGCTAGAGGTCAAGGTCAAATGTCTTCTATCACTCTTCACATTATTTTTTGAGGAAAGATCTCTTACTGAATGTTGCTAGCTTATCTGTCCAGGTCGCCTAAGGGATTCTCCTGTCTCTGCCTGTCTACCAATGAGGTTACAAGCACTTGTTGCTTCACCTGGCTTTTCATATGGTGCTGGATCTTCAAACTCAGTTCCTCTGGCTTGCATGCCAAGTACTACCCTGACACTAACCACTGCTAGTCATTTTTCTAAAAGGAAAAAGAATTCATTATTACTTCATCTTTATCATACCTCCTTTATTTCACTGTCTGTAGTTTGATGATAGACATCTATGACATTTAGGTTCCCAGGTGCTTTTAAGTACAGAACATTTGTTTTCTTCTCCTGTTGGATACAAGCCTCAAGAACTGGGCAGAGCACTCTTGCTTACAGTCAGTTAGCTAAGACTAATTACAGTACTATGTCCAAATATAGGAAAAAGAGTCTTTGTCTTTATGGAAGAGGAGATGGTACTGGTGGAATCCCTTGTTTTCTATTATTGTGACATCTTATGTTTTGTCTATGGATGAGCTAATTTCCTTTCAATGTTATGCAATGTCAAGGAAGAAAGTATAATTTGGTGTTTGTGTTATTTACTTCTTAATGTTTAAGTCAGCATTTGCTGCTATTGTAAGATAGAGAATATTTAGCAAGGAATAATGAATTGAAATATAATT